AAGTGGATACGCTAATATGGGTACGCCAACTTCACGGACCTTATAATAAATCATTGAGTGAAAATTTAAAAACGTACGTTTTCAGGAAAAGCACTTTGCAAATTTTTTTCCCCTTTTTTCAAAACTTTTATTATTATTTTTATTTCATTAACATTTTAAGTTTCATAAAATGTCCATGGTAACGCAATATCTTTGGTAGTTTTCTTTTTAAAGAGCATCTTTAGTAGAAAAACACAAAATCCTGTCACGACCATAACAGACGTTTAAATGAATATTAAAAATAGTTAATATTATTTTTATAACTATGTTTTGCTATAAACTAATTTACTTTTATGACCATTATACAATAAAAAGGTCACTGAGCTTTTGGTATATTTGGTCTTTCTAGAAAAAAATTTAAAAAAACTCATAAAATAGAAAAAAGCCAATAAAATCTTTTTAAGTTTGTATAACTCCGAAAAAACTTACCTGAGACCCGAAAAATCGTTATGTTTGTGTAGAGGTGTGCTTCTTTTGTGTATAAAACATTGAAATATGACAATATTTTAATTTTTGAAATTTTTATGATAGAAATCATAAACGTGATGGTCAGGGACAAGCGGTACGGTCGTGAATTGTCTGGAATAATCTAAATCTTTCCAAACAATCCTTCAATTATACTGTTAGTTATAATAAAACTATGTGTTTCAATTGAACTAAACTGTTCAATTTACAATTATATTAAAGTTATTGTCACGACCAAACTCACTATAATCCATAAGGCTGGATTGGTCGTGAAAAAAACCGAGATGGTCGTGAAACTTTGGTCGTGAAATTACGTGTTATTTGGCTCTGTTCTGGCGGTAGCCCTGCACCTCATGTTCGAGGATACAAAGTGGACTTCTAGGTTGATCTAGCAATTGAAATATCTTATAAACAAAAATTAACACCATGTCTACTTCATCGAATAACTACGTACGGTCATGGACACACCAAAATTACAAAAAACACAATCTTTCCTTTATTAATCTTGTAATTCCTCCTTTCAACTCAAAACGACCGGCACTACAATCCTGACGTACACCCCGAACTAGTCTCTAAAACCAACTGACTCCATCGACGCCAGGCTTGCCACTGTCGTGCTCCAAAGTTGAAAAATTTTCCCAAATGGTCGTGACGCCAAATCGAGGGACAGACTTATTTTGTCATGGTAGTCAGTCTGCAATGACAATAAAACTAGGTGGCGTTCGCAGAGGCATCCACAAAATTGAGCGGAGTCATCAAGGGTTCATATTATATTGTTTTTGTAATAATGCAGTAAAAACTATTGCATGTATCGAAATATGTATCGATTCGTGCTTCGTAATAGTTTTAACCTACAGTCTACAGTCTCTTCCCATAGCATTTTAGAATTGTGGATAAATTAATCCATTCCCACACTCAACACTGCTCACCTTTACTAATTCCTTCACCACACCCTACACGTGGACTTGTTTTCCCCTCTGCCCATTGCCTTTAAGGATTGCAAATACATTAATGTAATTGTCAAAGACAGTTCCCACACTCTGCACTGCAAGCCTTACTACTCCATTCGCCATTTCCAACGTCATAGACCTGTTTCCTCCCCTTCTCATAACATTTAAGTATTAGATACATTAAATTTATCTTACTGCCCAAACGGCAGTAACACACTTCCATAGCATTCCCCACTCTGCACTGCCAGCCTTTACTACTTCTTCACCACTTCCTACGTCCAGGGGCCTCTTTCCATGCCTTCTCATAGTATTTTAGGATTGAATATACATTATTCTAACTGCCACAGACGGTTCCCACACTATGCTCATACTTTACTATTTCCTAAGCCATTTCCTACATCGTGTACCTGTTTTCATCACTTTCCATAGCATTTTAGTATTTTAGATACGTTAATCTAATTGCCACAAACATTGACCACACTCCGCACTGCTAGCCTTTACTACTTCTTTCACAATTTTCTATGTCGTGGACATGTTTCCATCCCTTCTAATAGCATTTTAGAATTGCAGGTACATTGATATAACTGCTAAAAACCGTTTCTAGTTCCCACACTCCACACTGCTCACCTTACTACTTCCTTCACCACTTCCTACCTCACGGACCTGTTTCCCTCCCTTTCCATAGCATTTTAGGATTGCAGAGTACATTAATCTAACTGCTACAAACCGTTTCCAGTTCCCACACTCCGCAATGCTCACCTTACTACTTCCTTCACCTCTTCTTACGTCGCGGACCTGTTTCCCTCTCTTTCCATAGAATTTTAAGATTGTAGATAACTTAATCTAATCGTTATAAACAGTTCCCACACTCCAGACAGCTCACCTTTACTACTTCCTTCACCACATCCTACGTCACGGGCCTGTTTCCCTCCCTTTCCATAGCATTTTAGGATTGCAGATAACTTAAACTAATCGTCATAAACAGTTCCCACACTCCGGACAGCTCGCCTTTGCTACTTCCTTCACCACTTCCTACGTCACGGACCTGTTTCCCTCCCTTTCCATAGCATTTTAGGATTGCAGGTACATTAATCTAACTGCTACCAAAGGTTTCCAGTTCCCACACTCCGCACTGCTCACCTTACTACTTCCTTCACCTCTTCTTACGTCGCGGACCTGTTTCCCTCTCTTTCCATAGAATTTTAAGATTGTAGATAACTTAATCTAATCGTCATAAACAGTTCCCACACTCCGGACAGCTCGCCTTTACTACTTCCTTCACCACATCCTACGTCACGGACCTGTTTCCCTCCCTTTCCATAGCATTTTAGGATTGCAGATAACTTAATCTAATCGTCATAAACAGTTCCCACACTCTGGACAGCTCGTCTTTACTACTCCCTTCACCACTTCCTACGTCACGGACCTGTTTCCCTCCCTTTCCATAGCATTTTAGGATTGCAGGTACATTACTCTAACTGCTACAAACGGTTTCCAGTTCCCACACTCCGCACTGCTCACCTTACTACTTCCTTCACCTCTTCTTACGTCGCGGACCTGGTTCCCTCTATTTCCATAGAATTTTAAGATTGTAGATAACTTAATCTAATCGTCATAAACAGTTCCCACGCTCCGGACAGCTCGCCTTTACTACTTCCTTCACCACATCCTATGTCACGGACCTGTTTCCCTCCCTTTCCATAGCATTTTAGGATTGCAGATACCTTAATATAATCGTCATAAACAGTTTCCACACTCCGGACAACTCGTCTTTACTATTTCCTTCACCACTTCCTACGTCACGGACCTGTTTCCTTCCCTTCCAACAGCATTTTAGGATTGCAAATACCTTAATCTAATGGTCATAAACAGATCCCATACACCGAACAGCTCGACTTTACTACTTCCTTCACCACTTCCTACGTCGCGGACCTGTTTCCTTCGCTTCCAATAGCATTTTCGGATTGCAGATACCTAAATCTAATCGTCATAAACAGTTTCCACACTCCAGACTGCTCACCTTTACTACTTCCTTTACCACTTCCTACGTCACGGACCTCAAGCTAGTGACGTCATTTGATTATATTTATGATGATCCATACTGTTTCTGTTCTAATATCTGTGGATTAATGCTATCAGCTATTTCTTTATCTACTGCATTCAAAAGTCAACAGCTGATCATATGTTTTTGTTTATGTGTCAAATACTGCTTCCATAAGGATTACATTGAAACTTTGAGACCCAGTGGGGCGGATTCCTGAGAGATTTTTTTAACGCCATATAGATGTTGGCACTCACCGATATGGTCTTTATCACCATGCAAAATTTGAAAACGATTGATTCAGCCGTCTAGGAGGAGTTTGCGTATTACGAAATGCATAAAAGTCGACGTATAAGAGCGGAGCGAGCGAAGCGAGCTCCGCTCAATTATAATATACTCCTTTTTTGTAAGTTTAATAACCATTGATAACATAAAAATATGACTTTATATATTTCGGCATGAATAATTAGTCTAAAAACAGCGTGAAAGTTGGAAAATGTACCCTAGGGACACGTCATGGTCGTGAATTTCGAGACTTTAAAAATACGAAAAAAATACCTAGAACCTATTTAAAACTAAATAAATGTGTGTAACATGTTGCCCCCGTCCCAAAAAATATTAAAACACATAATAATAAACTACAAATCCAATATCTACGAAGTAAAAGGCCAGGGACATGAAAACGTACGTTTTTAAATTTTCACTCCATTACATAAGTTTGACTTGGTAAAAAAGATCGTTTACTCAACAGAAATTTTTCATTTTGATCAGCTCAATCTGTTGGAGGCTCACATCAACCACGACTAATTTAATTTAAAACTGCCCATTTCATAATTAAGTACAAACTAATATTATTAGTAAATCAGCTGATCGCCCAATGCAAATCTAATGGAAATTATCTAGTTGTAACTTGTAGTTTATTATGAAACTGGCGACAACTTTAACATGGAGATGGAGTTTCTAGTTGTAAGTCAAAGTCAAATACAGGCTTCCCTTTTTTTTCACCCCACGCTGTAAATAAAACATGTGATTGTAATTTCTCCTTTTGTTTTGATTTTCTGTTTATATTTCGTTGTTATTTCGTCACCAGCATGGCAACCCATTAGGTCCATGTTAATTTTTCCAAAATGTTAATCACATTTTTTGTGCTTATTTTTGAGCATATTTTAATTTATAAAGGGATTCTGCACATCTACAGGAAAATATCTTTCCAATAGTATGCGTAGGCCTATTAATATATAGATAGATAATTTTTTATTATAGCTGTTTTAGGTTATATACCTGTAGCTATTGTAAATTGTGTATCAATGAATAAATAAATAAATATATAGGTTATCTGGTAAATAATCATAACACACTTCACGCTCGGGGCTCCTCTAAGTGATTTTACACTAAGGCAATATTTGAATTGTTGCAGTGAAGGTGTCTAAACAGGAAGAGGAAGGGGGAGGTAGCTTTATTTACGAATTATTTATAGGTTTATAATAATGCCTGTTGAGTCAATAGAAGGTATTAATAAATAATTAATATTTTGGCACTAATGGTTATCAACATTTAAGTTTATACAAAATATAAGTGTAGACAACACAACAAAATAAATTGAACTACACTTTTAACTGAAAAAACAGTCAGGATCATCAGGATCTTCATTCTCCGTCACACTTCTTGAATCAGTTACTTCACTTCCTACTTTTCTTGACAGCTTTTTTGTTCTTGCAGCCATCATTTCTGGACCCGGCAAAGACACTAACAGTTTTATCAAATGTATTTTTGATTCAGGTAATCTTTGATCGGCACACATCCTGCAAAAGAAATATTGTTAAGAGCACAAGATTAAGAATGTTACTAAATAGTTATTTGTGTAACTAGAGTGTGAAGTGACACTTTGCTGCACACGAGAGAAATTTTAAGGCACGAGACGCAGGTGAGTGTAGAAAGTTTCTCGAGTGCAGCAAAGCCAATTTACACTTGCTTTACACATTGTATTTTTCCTACAGTAACTATAAAGTATATAGATAGTTAGTCTTTTAAACACTATACACAACACGTTTAAAGGTTAAATGCAAACGTTGAACAAAATGGGAAACGCTGTACCAGCTGATCTTAGTACCTTTAAGTGTTGATAACTTATTTTCAAGCGTACACGTATTACATGCCTAATAAAAGCAACAACAATTCTCTTGATTATTCCAACCCATGGGCAACCATGAAATTTATAAATAAATTGGAGTGAGAAGGTGAGTTAGAAAGGGTACGATAAATATTATTAATACAATAAGGGAGTTATGTTATTTTTTCTTTAAACCACTGAACTTAAAATCATGTTAGTAAAAACTAGCTTAGTGAGGTTTCCAGCAGGCTTCAGTAAGCACATTCCTGTGTCAGAATCATATTTGGCCTTAGAGGATTTGACCATGTTACACCATATTTAAACTTACTTTCACTAAATGAAGTAAAAATAAACTCTTATAATTTCACACCCTCCATCTTCTGATTCCATTATTAATAATGAAATACCAAAATATTTCTTTGATAGCTTTAATTTCATTTCTGACAAACACATCTGTGCCACTCGTAAGTTCTTATCTTTTAATCTTCACACATTCACCGCTCAACAACTTATAGTAAATCGTTCTTGGTATCTTCAAGAATTCTCTTCCTGATCACATAAAAAAGCCATAGAAAACCGTGCAAGGTTTGAGGCAGAGATCAAATTCATTATTTTGAGTACTGTGAGTCTCTGGTACTGCTGTGACGGGTTGGTTATGGGGCTTGTGTGAATGATTATATTTAGGGTTATTCTACTGAATTTCATAATTTTTGTAAGTTTATAGTATGTTACTTTGAAAATGATTTGTTTATAATATTAGTACTAAAATAAATATGTTAATTTATGTTTTAGACGTTAAAGACACTTTTACATTTCATTTTTAATTTTAATTTCATTTCATTTACATGGTTTGTGTGAAGAAGAATAGATTTATCTAATTGTCAAAATTGTATCTTAAGAAGTACCCAAGGTTAGCAGACCAAGTAAAAGCTGAAGAGATAAGTAATAAAGAACATCACCAAAATAGAAACCAAAATAGAATATGGAAAAGGTAGATGAGAATTCAGAATTGAGCTTTTAATTTAATCTCTTGGGGTTTCAGTGGCCACACAAGTTAAGCAAGGTACAAGTTTCTAAGTTATAAACAAATAGCACAGCGAGTAAGAAAATAAGTAAAAATACTGTATCATAAAATTGATGACACACGTTTAATGAACTTTATCCTTGCCCACGAGTTAACATGTTTACATGTTGATACTTGTACACAAATATCTATACAAAACTTACTCAAGAAACTCGTCAAGAAGCTTCTGATTACTGCAATCTTCATTGAGAAATAAAACCACAGCACTCTGTAACAAAAAACTAACAATGAGGACAAAAAATTCATACAGAAAAAAATGAAATCCATACTATTATAAAATTGAGGTGGTGTCTGTTTGTCTGTGCGGCTGCAACGACTAAAATACTAAAACGATACAGCCACAATTAAACACACCGATAGTCTACATATCTAAGAATGTCATAGGCCTATTCCCTTCCCTGAGTTCCTCTCAGGCTGTGCCCCTTGGATGTCCAAAGTTTGAGGTGAGGTTTTCAAAAGTAAATATTAATTGGTCTCCATGGGAGCATGAGAAAATTCACAACCTTTTTTTTACCTTTGTGTTGACATTTAAATGTAAACAATCAGAACTGTTGAATACTTATTTGCCAATTTCAGACAGCTGATCCAAACAAATTAAATAATAGCTATTTACATTACAAGTGTAGTAAGAGCGTTTTTACATCACGCAGGTGAATGTTTTGCAATGAGCGGAAGCGAGTTGCATAATTCTCCTAAGTGATGTAAACAAGCTCTTGCGTAACGTGTAACGTACAAGATTTTACCTGACCCGACAATATACAGGAGGTTACGAACAATATTTTTCATTATCCATTTCACTCATCTTCTATCAATAACGTTCATTTATAAACAAAAGCTAGGTTAGGAATGTTAGGAAAATTTTCAAAGCATAACAATATAATTCAAGCGCACAGCTGATTTCTAGCGTTGAACGTCGTTGGCTCCATAGAGGTATATTTTTTAAGTTAAGCACTCAATGTTATTTAAATGGGTTTTATTACCTTACCGAGTGAGTTTTTTCAACTTTACATCACTCGTGAAGTAAAGTTTCAAAAACTCACTCGGTGAAGTAATGAAACCCATTCAAATAACATTGAGTGCTCAACATAATAAAACATACCTCTATGAAGTCAACGCTAGAAATCAGCTGTGCGCTGGAATGTTATTGTTATGCTTTAAAGTTTTTTCATTTTCCTAACCTAGCTTTTGTTTGTAAAAGAACGTTACTGTTAGAAGATGAGTGAAAGGTTTATGTTGTGTTTCCAAGTAAAAATATTCTGTATTTTATTGTAATCAATAAAAACAGATCATTTAAAAACAAACCAGTTTATATATTGTACATTTACACCCCGTTCTGTATATTGTGGGGACATGAAAAATATTGTACGTAACCCCCTATATATTGTTGGATCAGGTAAAATCTAGTACGTAACATAGCTGAGTTATGGTGATGTAAAAACGCTCTTACTACACTTGTAACTATTTATAAAACTAGGCTATGTCATTGATAATGGAATTAAAGAAAAATTCTATAAATTCTATCATTGTAAGTTATGACAATAATTAAGTTATTTTAATTTTAAGAGTAAGACAATTCAATGTAGGTCATACTTTTTTCCATAAACTTTGTGTCTTTTTGTTTATAAATTCGAACTACTTAACAAGTGTTTGGATTAGATGGTATAGTACATCTTCCTGTTACAAAGCACACGTACAGAAGATAGTTGTAACTAATTTTCTGATTTAATTTGCTAATTTCAAGAGTACTTATATCTCAAAATCCATAACTTAACACGGCTACCCCCAATGTGCTTTGTATAAGCCCTCAGATACAAAGAGTGTGACAATTGGTACTGAATGTATTAAAAATATTTTGCTCTACTGTGATAAAAAAATCTTTAGTTTTAGATGCATAATTAAATAAATAAAATAAATACATGTAAATATTGCTGCCTATTATTCAGATGATATATGTCCTCAAATCATTATTTTTTTTAATCATAAATCATTAGAACTTGCACAACAATGACAAATAATGAAACCAAACCAAAATTAACCAAACTTGATCTTTACACAGAGAAGTTAAATCTCGTTTAATAATTACCGCTTAATTAACAAATAGGCTATCTAAATGTTACTACTGTGTGTGGCAAGTTTGATGACAGTTCTTGAACCACAGGTACAATCAGTCTTAGATCACGTTGATGCATGTTTAAATAAAAGAGAAGAGCAATTATTGTCCTCCAATTTCTTCTGCCATTTGTATCACTTTCGATTAAATATTTTAACACTGTTCCTGAGAAACGGTAGATATGCCTACAAAACTGAATTCCAGCAACTGCCACATACCACATGTCACACCATTGCTTATTACGAACTATTTACAGGCAAGCTATTGTGCAGAATGTAAAATAACAAGCACTGTTTCTCACCCTCCACAGTATGGGCAGGTCTGGCTTGGTAGCTCTGTGAAGAAGCCACTCTAGTAATTTAGCAGCCGCTGGATAGTTATTTGTCAAGAAGCTCACACGCAGCTCTTCTAGAACTTGTCTGTTGAAGCTACCTACAAAGTAATGAATAAGAGATATAAATATAAGCTTTAACAATAATTATTGGAAACAAAAAATTATCATGTATTGAATTTTAACAAACTTTTTTTAATAAGGTAGCGTTTTAAAGAAAAAAATACAAACATGCTTAACACATCTTCAATCGTCTTGAAAAACATCAAACCATGTATTGGTAGAATTGTACCAAACCATAGTACACCACAGTACTTGAAACAAAACATTAAGGTGTTTCTTTCTACTTTGAAAAGCATAAAATTACATTTAGTTTTAGCTGAGCTTTAACCTGACGCAATCATGTCTACATTAAAAAATCGTAATGATAATGACAAAGACTGACAGTGTTAATAACTGCCATTGTTTATGTTCTGCAGACTTGTCCAGCTTGCCAATGATTGGCGTCCAACCTAGTACTGTAGGATTTTCAGTTTCTAGGTTACTGTGCTGCTGATCATTCTTACATTAAATTAATACTTAATAATTATTTCAAGTATTAATTTCAACAAACCACAAATCAGGCATACTTGCTATTTCAATTTTATTCCAACAAAAAACATACTATTATAAAGTAATTATTGTTTCCAACTAAAAATACAATATATATATATATATATATATATTTAGTCCTAAAACGACCTCGGACAACCTGAGGACTTTGGATAACCAGAGTTTCTATAATCAAGAGTGTACTGTATATACAAAAGTGAGAAAATGTCTGACCGTCGCCAGAGAATATGTCCGCTGCAGCACAGAGGTTGTGGGCTTGTAGACACGGCAGCTGACATTCCCTCACAGCCTTCCGTCCACCAAAATGTGCCTCCTTGGAAGACTCATCATCTTCCAACAACGCAATGGCTTTTTTCTGACGAAGAATACAGCTGATTAAGATTACATTTAAAAAGAAAGCAGCAGTTGGCTGATAAAAAGATTTTCTGAAAAATGATAACATTCAGGTTTATTTGAGGAAATTAGGGCCGAGAGAGGCTAAGGGGTCATATATTAGAAGGAAATATCAGTGCTGCCTTTTATTGCGCATTTTTTAATCCAAAAAGTAAAAGGAAAAATGAGTAACCTACTACAATATTGCTTTAAAGAAGAAACTACAAAATGCAAATAAGACTATTGCTGTTATCTGAGAAATTATAAAGAATTATACTAAAATCTATTTTTTTTACATAGCAACTAGACCTATATATTATGTAAAGTTTTTGTTTAAATGGTCCTAGATGTGTGTAGTATTCTCAAATTGTATGTTATAGTATTTATAATTCTTTTTAAATTTGAGAAAACGTAAGGAAAAGGCTAGAAAAGGTACTAAAAAAATAGCAAATATCTTCAAATAAAAGTAAGTTCCAGATCTAGACAATACGGTTTCAAGTTTCACAAAAGGAAACCTCTTCATACTTACCAAACTCTTTTTTGTTATGATCACTGAGCCATCATCCACATCACTTTCAGAAGATTCAGCCATTATTTACTGATCAGGAGAATCACCATTAATCTGTAATAGGAAACATGTTAGTTGTTTACACAGTATGGTCTTGATTATCCAACCCAAGTTGGTTGCGGCAACACCGCGTATGCAGAAAGTTTTTCGATACAGGAAATATTAAAGTATAACTATAAACATGTCAAAATCCATTAGGACAAAATCGCTACCGATTTTCACATATATGGGATGCTGCGGTTGTTGCCACAAACCGAGGTATACAGTTTAATATCACACATAGACCGGGTGTCGCTTGGTTAACAGTAAACACAGACTACGGGCGAGTGATGCAGCAAATTAAAAAATATTTTTGCTAACTATCATATAACATCAATAATCATCATATCTACAGACCAAGTGACCCACATATGCGACAGACATCCCTGTAGACCACTGCAGAGAATTCAGGGCATTCAAACAGACCATTACGAAGATATAAGCTTTTTAATAACATTGGGACACCGACGCAAATATGCGACGTCAGTCTATGGGTAGAAACCGGCTGTCGCAAATGTGCGTCGCTGGTCCATATGAATGAAAAATTAGTACTATTGTGGTAGTGAATGAGTTAAATCAATACAGTTTGTTCATTATCAAACCTACTCGTAAAGGGTAGCAATAGGTATCCAAGTAAGAGGAGTTAACATATTGTGTGCTATAGGCTAACATTCATGTAGTACAGTCAAGTACAGATGCCTAAAGACTAGAGAATTTCACAAACAAGGGCGGCAAAAGGAGATGTCTCAATCAACTCGCTGCGGTATTCAGTCATATTAAACTAAAGTAGTACGCGATTTAACGTCCACGATCGCCTGCAGTGAAGTTCAGGCAGCTGAAGATCAGATGAGTGAGACTTTTCAGATAAAGGTGCAACAAATGGAGAGTGTATAGTTTTGACATAGGTAAATTTTTACATCTATAGTACCAGGAATGTCCAAACTGGCAAAGTATATACATTTCTCAAGGGATATGTATCATCTGGGTGTATGCTGTGTATTGAGGTAAAGTTTGGGCTTATTTTCTTTAAAATGTTAAATGCTAATAAAATTGATTACTTTTAATTGTTGGGTAGTCCACACATTCAATTCTGAAAATATCTTGATACCTCCACGTTTACCATCATCAAAATTTAAGCTTTTATGTTGAGGGTGACTTGATTGTTCTCTTAAATAAATATCAAATCTAACAATTAATTTACTACCAGTGTACCTGTTGCTTGAATTTGAGCAATTGCCAAGTATTACAGGTGTTATTTTAAAACGAATAGCAGTCATAATTTCTGATGACTTTAAAAGACTTGACTCAAAGATTTTGGAAATACTTAAGATGTACATAACAAATCGATATAATCAACATTTCTTGTAAAAAGTGTTTTCTACAAATAGCCTTACTCATAGTCACATTAGGTTGTCCGTAATAACGATTATAAATTTAAAAAAAAAAATATGTATATTATTTCTATTTCTTCTCCTTGGTGGTGTTCTATGACTTTCCTATGTTTCCATAGTTTGCAAATCGGCTATTTCAATGATTACTACGAAATACAGCACTGAGCACAGTGTTAATTCAGTTTTCTTTTTAGTATATACTAGCTGTGTGCCCGTTCTACGCACGGGGATCTTATTGTAGTCAGTTATTGAAACCTTTTTATTAAGAACAGAATTTGGTTTGCATATTTTCAGATATGCTGGCAAAACTATTATACAGTATATAAACCTTCGCAAATACAGTATCTGACAGTTTCAAGCCAAAACAAATGCTTCGAAATTAAATAGAACCTGGGTCGTGTTGGTCCATATGTTAAATCCAATGATTAAACTAAAAAATGCTTTATAGATCTATGAGGCATAGCCCTAATGTAGGCCTATAATTGAAAGTTACCTTCCACAATGGTTAAAAGTATTTAAGGTACTACCTCAACCTCCCAATTTAACACTTTATTCGTGTTGACATTTTCGTTATAAAGGTATTTCTGTCCTTTCCGTGAAACACTGAGAAATAAGGACATTAATGCTTTACTAACAGACATACACACAAAAATACAGAACTTAATTAGGGGGTTTGCTACGCTTTAAGCATAACAAAGTACTTGTAAAATTAGTATCTAAAATATTTTGTTAATGTCATCAAATTTCATCATAACAATGTATATTTGCTTGGACCGATGATGACCCGAAATGACAGCTTACTATATGAAATGAAGACGACTGGTCCAGGGTGGTCCAGCCACCCTGGTATAGACGATTGGTAATTTATAGTAAATATTACCAAAATAGGCCACGAACTATTGATACATAAACAACGTAAAGCGTTTAAACAATTCATTATGGTTAGCTGAATAAATGTTTTACTAAAGTGCGTTATCGTTTTCTTAGCATAAACTAACATTTTGGAATCAAGAAAGAAAAAGCAAAAATTGTACAGTTAAGACATCAATTAAATTGAATACGCCTGTAAAAATAAATAAGGTGCAACACCAACGATAACTAATTTGTAAAGTACAGTGATGTGTTGGTACTTAAAAATGATTCTTGCTACTACCAATAGTACCAACGGTTCTAAGGAATAGAACCGGTACCAAAAACCAACGTTCACAGTTGAGAACTATAGTACAGCCGACCAATTATATGAGTTAATCAAGTCCCGAGGTTATTGATCTCTTGGTTTTTGATTTTCTCGTAAATCGTTTTAAAACGGCAATCAAAGTTATTTCCCAATAATTGCTTTATTTGTAAACAACTTTTAATGTAAACTTATCGGTGTCAGTTTAAAAAAAAAACAACCTCATACAAACAACTTTTTGTTATTTAATAGATTAGGCCCTACGTACCTATTCTCTAAACAATGATTGGTAAAGGCTATCTAATAACATTAGAAGGAAATGTGACAAAAATCACACAACGTTGGGTTTTTGGACGTTTGTAATTTTATTTCTTAAGTAGGTAGGCCGTGTATTCTAGGGAAAAGTACCGGTATCAAGGATCGTCGTCGAACAGTTTGTTATGAATAATTGGGTAGGCGTACGTACCCAAGAGCATGGCTGTATGGTCCAGCGATTGCATCACACGGTGAGTAGGTACTATTGACTATATACAGACTGTCCTAAAAGTCCCGGACCGGTTTAATATTTTCTAAACGACAACAGATAAATCAATAAGATTTGGTACATCAACACCACACCTAAAAATCTACTTTTTTAAGGAAATATCAATTTTCTGTCACATCATGGGGACGTCCCGCAAGGAGTCAGAAGGAAATCTTAAATAGAAGCATAAAAACTGTGTAGGCCTATAATTCAGAACAGCTAGTTTACAAATTTTATTGCAGCCTACAGTAGAAAGAGTAATTATCGATTGAGAAGTGTATAGGCCTAGTCAATGATATCACCTTCTATCACATACCTGCTTCTTCCATAATCAATATCACCACAATACAATTACTCATACTATACACAATTTCCAGTAGGTCTGAATTGAAACTCCCTAAAATAAAGCGAAAACATCCAATAAAATTCACAGTACACATAATTATAACGTTGGTGTCCTGACATCATTAAACGAATCATCCACACACATCCTTTATGTCATTTTCACTGCATCAATTGCTAAATAAATAAGTGTAAACAAAGAAAAGTAAACACAACAACATATTGGTTTGTTTTGTAAACAGCTGAGTCAAAAATAAAAAAATATTCATTTGAACAAAAGAACTGGTCACATGTTGAAGGAATTTAAAAATTAAAAACGCTAGTAAAGCTAGTGACATAGTTAATTGTCTATGTTTATTATCTATTCCGTTATCAGTTCTAATATCCTTGATAACTAAACCACCCTCATTGAATCAATGTACATAGTAATTCCCCATATTTATTTATTAAAACTATAACCACAACTAAACACACGCCAAACAACTTTTTAGATTTCATAAAAGGATGGTAAGTCTAATAATTGCAGTATCCTGGGTCAATGATGATGTTGTGTTCAATCTATGTCTTTCATCTGTATATCTTTGGATAAAACCCGTCTGAGGTTGTGGTGGTAATTTAAAATCGTATTCCTGATGATTCTTGATCTCCTTCTTTATGACATCAATATTCCCGGGCCTGATCCAAACAAGCACTCAAAAACATTGATTGTAAACAAAAAGCCACCAAGATGAATTAAAACATGTAAAAATTATGATTTTTCTACCCTTTCCTAAAAAAGTTGTGCAGTAAAATAATTTGCATATCGAGGGCCTAAGTCTAATACCACGTATCTTCAAAATATAGGGGTTTGAGATCTATAGTAAAAAAACTAGATTTCATTGTTCCTCACCTAATTCTAAAACCTCGTAAGTCTATAAAAATTGGAAATAATTAAAAAAAATGGGAGATGTAGACCTCGTATCTTGCAGTATTGGTAAACCTTCCTTCTAGCAACACGTATCTTGTATTGTTTACAGTGTGCAAAAGGTGGTCAGCTGTGCCGGTCTGTTATTGTTATGCAGTTTCATAGTGAAAAAGTGAATTTCAGTGTTCAAAATGTAGTAAATATAAGATAGAATTAACTCAGTTTTGTATATATGCAATTAGTTTATTTGTGGCTTTATTAAAATTTATGTAATACGTTGTCATAAATCAGTGTTAAGATACGAGGTCTTAGAAGGAGGAATATTCTTACTGTAAAAATACGTTATAACTTGTTATAAAAATTATTGTATTAACTTTTTTGCTAAGGAATAATTTAATACTCTAATTTTTTCTGCAATACAATAAAATAGTAGTTATAACAATAAAGTTGTTATAATAAAAATGCTTACCCAAGTAGCAACACAATATTGTTAAAATGTTGAAATAATGTTGCTTAACATTGTCAACAATATTGTTCTGAGAATATTGTTTTAATGTTGAAGCAAGATTTTCCCAACATTGATCAACGTTTTATGAAAATATTGTTTGATAATATTGATTAATGTTGAAAAAACATTATTTCAACATTAACACATTATTTTCCCAACATTGATCAACATTTATTGAAAACATTGT